TTTTTTTTTTTTTTTTTTTTTTTTTTTTTAACCACCATTTGAGAGAAACCCTGCGGATTTGGTGGTTCTGGTTTTTTACTACCATTTCTTTTACGACCTTGGCGCTGTGGTGGGGGTCTCTCAGGCTGGGGAGGGAGCAAGCGGGAGCTGCTGCTGCGGGGAAGGGGGAACCTCTGGGATTCGGGGGAAGGCAGACGAGCTCCCTGCGCTCGCAGTTGGGCTTAGCCGAGCATCAGAAGGAGCCCACCGATGATAGTCAGTTCCTGTTTGCATTTCATGACCCTCTCGCTAAAGGAAAGTCTGCAGATGGGACCGTGTGGGACGTGGCAAAGTGAATGTTGCCGCTTCGCCGGAGAGAGCAGAGGGGGTCTGGAAGAGGGGGGTTCACACCCCGACACCCCATTCGTGCAGTCAGGGAGCAGAAGCCTAACACAGCCCGGCTCGCGCATCCTGAATTTATCCTTAGAAATTATTACTTGGCAAACAGGCTTGAAAGCTGCAGTCTGCTCCCAGCCAATTTGCACACAATAACTAATGATAACTGGGAGCCCTTCAGGCCCAGGTAGAGTTTTCCTTCGAGTTCTGGGGTAATTGAATCTGGGGTTTTACGTCAGCTCATCAATAGGGATGAGGTCCAGCCCTAGTGCCCGATTTTTATCTCCTTTATGCTCCCTCCAGGCGGGCGCAAGCCTGGTCACCTCTGGAGAGTCGTCCCTGCTGGTGCGGGGAGCAGGAGGAGGAGGTCGGTGTCGTTTGGGGAAATCACAGTCTGAGTTCATCACTGGGAACTGGCCGTTCGGCTGAGACCTTTAATCTTGTGGAAATATGTGTCCAGGAGTTGTTTTAAATATAAAAACCAACTTGTTGATGACCATGAAGCAGCTGAAGCCTGGCCGTGTCTGAGTGGGAGCGAGCTGCTTTTGCTGCCGGCCGGAGATAACACGCTGGACTCCTGGGGAGCGAGGCGGCCGCTTGAAACCGTGCTGCTTGTGATTGCAGGTGCCGGTGACGTTTGACGACGTGTCTGTCTATTTCAACGACAAGGAATGGGAGAAGCTGGAGGAGTGGCAGAAGGAGCTGTACAAGAATGTGATGAAGGGGAACTACGAGTCGCTGATCTCCCTGGGTAAATACGGGGTGTCCTCGCCCTGGTGAAAGGCAGGTTCTCTGGGGCTCCTGGCTGCCCGCAGGCTTGGGCATCTTCTGAGTCCTCCTCAGAGATCCCCTTGGATCCCCTTGAGACCCAAATGCCCCATTTTAAATGGAGACTTAAAAACACGGGAGGATGTTTCTAGTCTGGGTAAGGGCATCCCTCCGACAATGTCCGGTTTTGTTCCCAGCTCGGGGCGCGGTGCTGTCCTGGCTGGGTGGGGGCCACCCGTGAGCAGGTGGGCTGGAGTCCTCCTGAGGCTCCTTCCAGCCAGAGTTACTTGGTGAAAAACGAGCACCTTCCCCGTGGCTGTTGGAAGGGCTTCCCTTCATCTTCTGGGTCGGCAGCGGGTACCAGCCCATGCACCCCTTCAGAGGAAACTTTTGTAGAGTGAAAAGTTGTCTGATGCGGTCTTGGCTACGCTCCTTTGGGGCATTTCCTACTGAAGCTGCAGGAAAAATTCTGGCTCTGCTGAGGCCAGAGGTGAAACGCTTTTGGCTTCAGGAATTTGCCTGAGAAGTTCTAAAACCCTGCCAGAAAAATGTACGGGTTGGGTTTCTTCTTGAGGGTAGTTCCTCTGTGTGTGGCACCTCAGCTCCTGCCTCCGTGAATCTCTTCTGCCCGTCCAGGGAGCCTGGTCTGCTTGCAGCACCAGGCTTTTCTGCCTGCAGACCCTTTGTGGATGCTCCTGAGTGTCTTCACGTGTCCCCCCGGGTGCTGGGGAGAGGTGGAAGCCGATATTAGGATTCCCTGTGCAGTAATCCCTCCCTCCATCCCTCTGTCTCTCAACAGACTATGCAATTTCCAAACCTGGTGTTTTGTCTCAGATCGAGCAAGGAGAGGAATCGCGGGTCAGGAATGAGCAGGACTTGGAGGAGAGCGAGATCATTACCGATGCCACCGCAGGTGAGACGGCAGCTTAGCGTGAGGGGAGCCGTAGGTTGCGTTCAGAGGAGCTGCTCACCCCAAGGCTCAAGCAAGTGTTGCTGAGAGCTGTGCCCGAGGAGGTTATCAGGAGGAGCCTTGCATACAAGCGGGAAAGGTTTGGCTGATGAGAGATTTGCTGTCCAGGTACAGTTCAACATATAAACCAGGGCAAGCGGAGCCCGGAGAGTTGGGCACTAGGAGCTGTCAGCAAGGGAAACTTCTGCAACCAGACCAGGTCCTCGGGGAGCCAGCGTGCCTGGCAAGAAAGGAGAATCGGGTCCCATTGGGAAAACCCATCCACCCAAGGGAGCTGTAGCCTTCCCAAAAAGTCCTCTCCACCCTCTCTGGTTGTGTGGATGGTGCCTGGGTTTATCCTTGGAGCATCGCCCCAGGGCTGGGAAGCCTGCTTCCATCCTGCACGCAGGGACCCAGGGTGCTGAGGGGTTTCTCCAAGGGCAGGGCTGGGCTGGGAGCAGGGCACCAGGGACCCCGAGTCCCGGAGCGACTCCCGCTCTGAGATAAGCGGGGCTGATAAGGAGGTGTCCTAGAAGAGATGGTGTCAGCTCTGCTGCTGGTCTCTGGCCCCTGGCTGCGGACATGGGGTCGCTCCGACCCCCTGCCTGTGCTCATCTCACAAGGATGTTGAAGTTAAATCGAGGCCAACGGGAAGAGAAAAATCATCTGCTGCCCACAGGGAGCTGCCGGCCCAGCACTGCGGACAGGGCATGTGGGGTGGCAGAGGGGTGCTGAGCTGCGGGTGCCGAGTCCCTGGGCCGGGCGGAGCGAGTCCCCTGTGCCCGCAGAGGGTCCCAGGCAAGAGGCAGGAGCGTGGCAGGGCTGGTTGAAGGGCAGGGGCTGAAGGGAGAGCAGAAGTGGCTGAGCAAATGAAACCCCTCTGCGGGATCAGCAGCCAGAGACAGCCCATGGGGAGCCGGCGGGGATTGTTGCGAGGAGTTTCTTTGTCCTGGCTCCCGGGAATGACGGCAGGCGGGAATCTCTCTTTGCTGCAGCTGGTATAAGGGTTGTGATCAAAACGGAGGAGCTCCTTCCTGAAGACAGCCCTGAAAACCCCGAGCTGCACGGGATGTCGGGGCAGTCGGAGGGGAGCTTCCAGAGTCCGGACGAGGAGGCAGCCTGCGAGAGCCCCTACGGCTCCGTCTCCCCTCCGAGGGACCTCCCAGGAACCAGCCTGGGTGACTCGTCCGAATACGTAGCTGACTTCAACGAGATCCAGAGAGTGATCGTTCACCACGGGAGCTGCACAGGTGAGATGCTCGGCACGCGGCTCCGCGGCACGTGGCATGTCGGGGCGACAGGAGGCCCAGGAGGGGCTGTTGTGGGTCAGGCAAAGGTGGGGAATGGGTTGGACAAAAGAGAAGGGTTAAAACCCCCCAGAACCAGCACCAGAAGGAAAGTTTCTGGCTACAGCAACCTCACGAGCAGCTGCAGTCAGACCCCAGGCTGGGAGGAGGAGGCGGCACACGCGTAGTGGACATCAGAGCGTGGTCTCTGAGGGCACCTGACCTGCTCCAGAGTGGAGCGAGCGGTGGCTCAGTCCTCCATGGGTGGGAAAGCCCTTGTTACACATGGAGAGCAAGGGAAGACATGTACCAGGCGGCATTTTATGAGAGCCCCAGTGAGTCCCTGCTGCTAAAATCCCACCGTTGCAGAGGGCCGGACATCAGTCGAGGACTCCTGCCCTGGTGTTAGTCGTGCGGAGGGATGGTGTAAACTGCTCAAGTGCTTACACAGCAGACTCTGCTGGAGGAACGTGCGGGGTCCTGCATGTCGACCAGCATGAGGGTTGCTCGGGGCAGGTCCAGAGGACGGGGACAAGGGTGGCCGGAGGTCCATGGTGTGCGAACTGCTGGGAAGGAAGGGGAAGTGTGAGGTTATTTAATGGAGACATGAGAAGATGGCACCGGGCGCTTCGTGTGTAAAAGTCCGCCAGTTGGGCAGCAGATACGGGCCAGGTCCTACAGACATGCTTTGAGGGCAAGAGATGGGAAAGCGGGGAGATGGGCTGTTGGGAACGGCGGGTTTCCTGTGTTCTGACGGCTTTGCAGTGGTGTAATGCAAACCAAGAAGGGTAGAGTTGGGCTCTTGAGGTCCTCCTCAACTCCGTCTCGTGGATCCTGTGGTCTCCTCACGGTTTTCTAAAGGAAACCAGATAAGCCACCAGTGGGGCTGGAGCTGATCCTCGTCCGAAAGCGTCGTCCCCTTGGCCGATGCATGGGGCCCCGGCTGGTGGGGCTCAGCGGGAGCTGCAGCAATGCTCTGACGGGGGTGCGGGTGCCGGTGGCCAGTGCTTGAGCAGCGATAGCCCCTGGGTCTGCATAGGGGAAGCTCCTTGCTGCGAGGAGGTGGGAAGGAGGACCTGAGAATGTGGGTTTTCCCCACTGACCCCTCCGTTGGAGGGGAGAGGGCCGTGGCTTTGATACATCCTGTGCCCGTTGGCTGCCTCTTCTTGGGAAAGCGTGGCTGCTCTTCCTAGAAAAGTACATAGGCCTGGCTCAAAGTCCAGCGCAGGCTGACGTGCGAGGGATCCACCGTGGGCCTTTCCTCAGGGCGCGCTGGCTGTGCGCGTCCCCGATAGGGCCGGTCTCACCAAACAAAAACACCAGGTCACTTCCGGCATCGGTGATGCAAGGGGGGAGCCTGACATGTGGCCGTCCATCCCACCGCCGTTTGCCTCTGGGAAGGAGGGGGGGGGGTCTCTCCCCACGCCCCATTGCGGCGAGGCTGAAGGAAGGGGACAGTCCCAGGCTGGGCACGTTGCCTCGGGAGCGGAGCTGGAGCCCGACAGCCCCGCGCCGTGTTTCCGTCGAGCAGTGCCATGCCGGGTGTGGGGAGCATTGTTGTAGCCCAGCAAAACGGCAGCAGATGGAGCTGCTCTGAAATCACTCTGCCGCTCGAGTCCTCGCAAATTGATGGCGCTTTTATCCCCCCCCCGTCTTGTAGCATCACGAAATTGCAAAACCTTTTCGCAGGCAGGTCTCACCGCACTTCTTTGCTCCGAAGAAGCCTGTCCAGGAGGCGGTTTGTCTGTCCTCCCTGTTGGGGAGTGCGCAGGCTCACCTTGCCACTGGAAGAGGATGTGCCCCGTCCCAGGGCGCAGGGCTCCGGGCTGCAGCTGGCTCACGTCCGGGTGGTCGGGCAGAGCAGGCAGGCAGGTGCAAACAGCTGCAGAAGCCCATGCAGATGTTTCTGTAGCAGCCCCCCAGGTGTGTAAAAGGCCACCCCGTCCCACTCGATGACCCTAATGCTGTTCCGGTTTTCCCCTGCAGAGGACGGGATCGTGATCAAGACGGAGGAGGAGGAGGAGGACGACCCTGACACCCTGGAGCCGTGCGCCATGTTCTCGGGCAGGACCGAGCCGCCGGCGTTCCCCAGCCACGAGGCCGGGCTGGGCTGCGAGGCGCAGTGCAGCTCCAAAACGCAGCCCAGGAGCCTGGCGGCCGCCCGCGTGGGGAAGCCCCCCACCTGCGAGAGGGACTCCGGGGAGATGAAGCCGGCCATCGCCCAGCAGCGGAACCGGACGAGGGAGAGACCCTACATCTGCCCAGAGTGCGGGAAGAGCTTCATGCTCAAGATCAACTTCATGATCCACCAGCGCAACCACCTCAAGGAAGGGCCCTACGAGTGCCACGACTGCGACCTCAGCTTCCGCAACAAGCAGCAGTTCCTGCTGCACCAGCGCAGCCACACACGCCGGGGCGTGGGGGTCCCCCGGCGCCCCGAGCACGGCCTCAAGCCCCAGCCGCGGCCCCCACCCCCAGGGAAGCCCTACAAGTGCTCCGAGTGCGAGAGCAGCTTCAGCCACAAGTCGAGCCTCAGCAAACACCAGATCACCCACGTCGGGGAGCGGCCCTTCACCTGCGGCGAGTGCCGGAGGAGCTTCCGCTTGCAGATCAGCCTCATCATGCACCAGAGGATCCACGCCGGCAAGAGCGAGATGGCCTTCCTCTGCCCCCAGTGCGGGAAGAACTTCACCCGGCCCTCCCACCTCCTGCGGCACCAGCGGACTCACACCGGCGAGCGGCCCTACCAGTGCAGCCAGTGCGAGAAGACCTTCAGCGAGAAGTCCAAGCTCACCAACCATTACCGCATCCACACCCGGGAGCGCCCGCACGCCTGCGCCGTCTGTGGGAAGGGTTTCATTCGCAAGCACCATCTCCTGGAGCACCAGCGCATCCACACGGGCGAGCGGCCCTACCACTGCACCGAGTGCGGCAAGAACTTCACCCAGAAGCATCACCTCCTGGAGCACCAGCGGGCGCACACCGGCGAGCGGCCCTACCCCTGCACCGAGTGCACCAAGTGCTTCCGCTACAAGCAGTCCCTCAAGTACCACCTGAGGACACACATGGGAGAGTGAGGGGCTGCTGATGGCTTCCCCTCCCTCC